CGAGTGAGTACTATGATAATAACGCAAAGGTCCCTTGTTCTGTCGCGCTCTCCCTCTCCCTCTCCCTCTCCTCCTCCTTCTCCTCCTAACTGTGCTCCCCTGTTCTCCTTCTCTCACGCCCTCTTTTTCTCCTCTCTTCCTCATCCACCTCGCCCTGCTGTTGTCGTCGCATGTTCTTCTTGCCCTGATCCAGTCTTGGCGTGCAGGTACATATCATACACGATCAAATGCTGTCGATCGCCCATCTTCGATTCCGCCAACTGTGACGGAGATCAAGTGTTTGAGCTCTCAGGGAGCCAGGAGGGCATCCGGACATGGCCAGTCAACGTCATGATATGGGGAGATGTTCGGATCGAGTTCTACAAGCACAAGTCAAAGTCAAAGTCGTCCCCGAGGAAGCTCGCCTTCTTCTGTGTCTTCAACACCTCCTTCTACAAGGGAAAGACGTTTGTGGAGTTCCAGAAGAGCAAGGTTGACATGCTGAACAAGGACAGGAGGCATAGGCTGGTCGGCGAAGACTTCTGTCTCCGTTGCAACTTGAGCGCAACCCCGGAGAAGAACGAGCTGATGGAGCTGGAGTCTGACTTCAGAGACATCTTCATGCAGTATGGCGTCCGGAAGACTTTCTCCAAGGGAGACACTATCATAGAGGAGAACACGAGGAGGAGGATGTTGTACCTGATTGTCTCCGGCTCCGTCGAGGGCGTCGTAAACGACATCACGGACGGCACCAATGTCCATCCTCTTGGAAGGAGCGCAGCAGAGGCGATCTCCTTTGGCAAGACGATCGGGGACGACTGTACCCGCGTCCCCAACGTCTACATGCTCGGGCCGGGCTGGGTGATCGGAGCCTCTCCCTTCCTCTCTGCAGCCAACACCATGCTCTTCCGAGCGCGCACGAGCGTGATCGTGTACGGGGTGAAGCACAGGCAGCAGGAGGCGACGAGCTCGGGGGCGAGTGTGGAGGATGTAGTGCTGGAGGGAGTACCCGCCGACCGGCTCTCGACCTTCTACAAGGGGCTCAGCGTCGCCCTTGGCACGCAGCTCTCGCGGATCCGCATCGAGTCGATCCGCATCGGAAATCTCAAGGCGTTCAACGACCGGCAGACGGTCATGGCGGAGCAGGACGAGTCTGAGAAGCTGCGCAGCGCCTGCATCAAGGAGTTCGGGCTGCCGATGAACGAGAAGCTGGTGACCCGGCTCAAGTGCTCCTGTCGGTCAGGAAGGATGAGACGGCCCGCCGGATGCGCCTGCTGGTCCTGCTCAACTACCTGGTCCTCGACCCTGAGTTCTACGGGCCCACCATCTCTCCTCGTTCCGAGCTCTGGTCGGTCCGGCAGGTGAGACTTTTTCTCTTGCTTGTCTCGAAGCTTTTCTTATACCATCATCATCATCATCATCATCATCATCATCATCATCATCATCATCATCATCATCATCATCATCATCATCATCATCATCATCATCATCATCATCAGCACCACCACCATCATCATCATCATCATCATCATCATCATCATCATCATCATCATCATCATCATCATTCATTCATGATTATCTTCAATGCCATCGTCTTGCATCATCCCTGCGCTACACCATCACCTCCTCCTCATCCTCCACCCCTTCCTCCGCCTCGTGACTGTCCTATCAGATGCACAGCGTGGCGCCGGCGGAGGACAGCAATAACAAGTCCATCATTCTCACCTGCCTCGGCGAGCGGGTCCATGGCCTGGACATCGTCGCGAACCTCATCGAGTTTCGCTTCACGTTCCGAGACTCAAGTCAGACTCGCCACATGTACCACGCGCTCTCGAGCATGTGCAAGAAGGCAGAGGAGATCAGAGGGCGGGAAAGGGTCCGTCCCTTCGAGACCGCCAGCATGTCGCAGCTGCTGGAGCGATGCTCCCGAGTTCACTTCCTCAAGAAGAACGACAACCTTCCCGAGGCCTCCACCAAGAGCAGCCTCTTCCTCGTCCGCACCGGCGAGATCCGCCTTGTTACTCTGTATACTCCTCTCTCCCTCCTCTCTTCCTCCTCTCTTCAATCTCTCCCCCTCCTCTCCGCCTCCCGTTGTCACATCGCTTCCTCCTGTCCTCTTCTCCCTACCTCCCCTGATCTCTCTCTTTCCCCATTCCTCCCCTGAAGTGCCTCCTTTCCACCACCACCACCTCCTCCTCGCCATCTCTTTTCTCATGGCAGCGCCGCGTCCTGACCCGAGATGGCAGGGAGGGGAACACGTTCAGGGTGGTGCGGGAGGGCTCCTGCTTCGGAGAGATTAATTTCTCCCTCAACTGCACCGCAGGTCACTACAAGTGCGTTGCCAACGTCAACTCAGTCGTGCTGGAGATTTCACATCCCCAGCTGCACAAGTATCTCAAGAACCAGCCGCAAAGTCTCGCCGCCTTCTTCTTCCTCGTCTTCTGCCAGGCTATCGAGAAGGAGATCAGAGAGACGGTCGAAGAAACTTTCCCGGGCACCTGGAGCAAGAAGTTCAGCATGTCGGCCGATGGGACAGGCACGCTCGGACGGGCTTCGAGAGCAGGAAAGAACCATTCCAAGTCGAAACGAGGCTCCCTGACGTCCACGCCGACGTCTCGGACGGGCCTGATGTCGAAGGTTTCCGGGTTCCTCAACGGAGAGGGCGAGAAAAAGCACAACTTCTCGAGGAGAAGGGGGGAAGGAGCCACCTCGCACAACGGGAATGGAGATTCTAACCATGTCCTTCCACAAGTCACAGTAATCTGATGTAATGTATATTTGAACTCCTCCTCCTCCTCCTCCTCCTCCTCCTCCTCCTCGCTTCCTATCTACTGTTGCTACATCACAACTGCTACTCCTCCTCCTTTCTCACTGCTCGTTCCTGGCTGAACAGCATCACACCTTGACGATGAAGCAGCAGTCAAGTTTCTTGCACTCCGGCTCTCCATCCCTCCCGCTCGTCTCGCCGGAGCTGATGGTCCGCAGCCTCTCGATCACTTCCTCCATCCTCGGCCTCTTTTCCGGCTGCTTGCTTATCAGCTCAGACGCCAGGCCCAGCAGCGCCTCCAGCTCTCCTCCTCCTCCTCCTCCTTCACACTGCGGCATCTGCAGCGGGCGATCGGACGCAAGCTCTTCCAGGACTTCCATCCCCGGCCTGCCAGCGAGGAGGAGGCGGCGACAAACGGCTTCATAGATGAGAACTCCCAGCTGAAACAAGTCATGCTCCCTGCTCGCCAGCAGCGGCTCCACCTCTCCTCTCCTCGCCCACAGCGCAAAGAGATGCCGAGCGTGCTCGGGGGAAGGGACAGCAGTCGGCCAGGCTCCGATCCTGACTCGAGGGGACCACACGGACCAGGGGTACCCCATGAACTCAGTCACCTCCTCCCCCTGTAGCGAGCTCGCGTCAAGATCCGCCAGCTTCCATGGCCCTTGTCCTCTCCTCATACCCAGCACGTTGCGATGCTTCACGTCCCTGTGGCAGAACCCCTGAGCATGCAGCTCCTGCAGTCCTAGAGCGACATGGAGCATGGCGACACTGACAGACGGGATACTTCCCTTCGATCCTGGTGGCCGCATTATGGCATGAGTGAGAATGTCCTCTGCTAGCGGGTACACCAGGCACCTGCTCCCGTCCTCCATCTCTTCCACATGCATCGCTGTCATCACATGAGCGCTGCGAGCTACTGCCCGCTCTGCCTCCTCCCCTCGCCATCTTCGCACTCCCACCACTGTTCCTCTCCCTGATTCTTTCGGCGTGCATTTGATGAAGACTCTTTCCCCATCCTCTCTGTCCCTTGCGATCGCTACGATCTTCCCCATCCCCTCTCCTCCTCCAACCTCCACACCAACCCCAGCGCTCTGCCCTTCCGCCCCCCTGTCCTCCCCCGACAAAATTTCCCAGCGGCCATTGAGGACGCAGCCATTCAGTCCCTGCCGCTCGCATGTCCACCTTCCTCCTTGCCGATGACTTGACCCTTGCCTGCCATGCCCCCCCGGCCCTGATCGCGATGCCCGTGCAGCTATTCTCTCTTCTCCCCCGCCTTCCCTCCCCTCCTTCGCCCCCCACACCCCCACCGCTGCTCCTGCTCCTGCTCCTGCTCCTGCTCCTGCTCCTGCCCAGCCCGTCCCTACTCCATCTTCAAGCTCGTCCTGATGTCTAACAGCACACGCTTCGCTCCTCGCCATCATCGCCGCCATCACCGTCATCGTCATCATCGCTGCCCTCGCCATATCCCCGACCCAGCCTGCTGTGCTGCCTGCTGTCGGGCTGCCCCGACAGTCGTTTCAAGCAAGTTCAACAAGGCGTGTTGAATCATCGGACCTAGTAGATGTCGCAGTGTTTTGAAACTCAGTGACTGTCAGTCCGCCACTCATTCTGGCACCCGGTCACGCGCGGCACGCGGCCCCGGCCCGGGGGGGGGCGAGTCGGATAAGTTGGTCAGGAGATTCGAGGAGGCTTGACCCTGGCACTGTCGCACTTCCAGGAACCAGCCAACTGCTGCCACCAAACTTAAGCGCCATGCCAGCGATGTCGCCGCTATGGCCACCGCCGCCGCTGAAGGAATAAGACGATACCGGCCCGGACTCGGGAAAGCGGCACCTTTTGTTGGGCAAGCCTTGAACTCGGGAGTCGAATCACCTGTCACAGCAGTGCTATCGGATGAACCGTTCAACAGGCGGTCAGTGACAGTGCTGGCAATCGGATAGGACCGGGAAGAAAGGCCTTTGGCGGGACGTGCTGAGCATATGCGCCGGGCATTACGATCGAATGCCCTTGGATCTTCCGCTGTGCTGCTGCTTGCAGATTACTCTCGGAGCGACTCGGACTGAGGTCCGGTACTACCGGCGTATTCGCCATCATTCAACGGTCAAAAACATGTGACATGCCGCAGTGAAGGTTCAAAGTACCATGACGGTACGGACGACGGTCACATGCCCCCCCGCCGGACCGGACTCGATGCCTCGGGAGTCCGAGTGACTACGAGTCCCGAGTCCCGCCCGGCCCGGCGGGCCCGGCCGGGCCCGGCCCGGCCCCCGCCCACCCCCCTTCAATTGAGAGGGCAGCGAGTAAACTAATAGAAGAGTAAGCATAGTTTGAAAAGGCAGCAGTTATACGAGGGTAGGGGTACTTCACAGGTTCAGAGGGGGTTGGGGTAATGGCTATGGGGCTATGCGTTGACGTCTCTTGACCTGTGATGCCGTGGGAGCTCGACGGCAGGGCTACGGATGGCGAAGAGGAGAAGAAGTGAGCACAGCAGAGGACAGGACAGGACAGGACAGGACAAGACAGGAAGGACAGGACAGGACAAGACAGGACAGGACAGGATAGGACAGGACTGGATAGGACAGGACAGGATAGGATAGGACAGGACAGGACAGGAAGGACAGGACAGGATAGGACAGGACAGGACAGGACAGGACAGGACAGGAGATTGGATAGAGGAGTAGAGTCTGTAAGAGAGCATGGAGTGATAGAGGTTAGAGATGAGTTGAACGTGAGGACGACATCCAAGACAACTGAACACAAGACATCGACGGTGTTGGAGCGCGTGGGATCTGAGGAAAGCTAAGTCAGGAGATGATCCGTGACTGAACCAACTTGCTGCTCTCCTTTGCAATCTGTTCACTTCATGTCGACTGCTACAAGAGTCCTCCTCTTCCTCCTCCTCAATGTTTGCCACGTGGGATCCTGGTTCCTCCATGGGCATCTCGACTGGACAATTAGCAAAGAAAACCCGTTGCTGGTGAACTTCGAGCTGTGGACAGCATGGCGACAGGACGCTTTCAGCAGCCAGCGACTGTCAGAACTCACGCAGTTTGAGGACGTGCCTGCGCTGAGGAAGGAATGGGTGAGGGGGCTTGCGGGAGGGCCAGGAGGCATTCTGAATGTGACAGAAGGGACGTCGGCTGACATTAGGAGGAGGATAGTGCTGTGCCCCTTCCCAGGTTGCGAGCTGCAGACAAACGAGTCTCGTTTCAACTTCATCATCACGAGTATGGACGGCTTCCTGGTGCAGGCCCGCCTGTCCTTCTCCTTCGAGTACAACCATTCGGGCAGGTATAACGTTTCTTTCGTCGGATGCTGCAGGGACCAGGAGCTGGAGAACAATGCAGGAACACCATGGAATGTTCGCTCAGAAGTAGTTCTTTACAGCAACATCCAGCAATCTCCCACCTTGCTGCTTCCTCCTATGCTTCACATGCATGCCCCGAGCAGCTACAAGGTCTTGGGCCTTTCGGATTCTTGCAGCTTGCAGTATCAACTGGGAAGGTATGAGACGATGAATGGTCTCGAGATGTTGATCAATGACTATCAAAGTGTCGGGTTCAGTATGCGACCTGACGGCACAATCTCCGTCAGTCAAACGAACCTGAACTGTCTCTACCCGTCGTGTAACTTTCAACTTTCCATCCTGTACATTTGTGAATCGACACGCGGAATCTTCGATCTTCTTATTCATTTACACACATCCAAGGCTCCATACTCGGATTTCGACAACTTTCTCGTCACACCCAGGAGCGCTCCCTGGGCACAAGTCAAAGTGAATTGTAACACGTCAGAATTTTTCCCACCAATCGACACAGAGTACACTGTGTCGGATTGTTTACATGTATCTAGACTCTCTGAATTCTCCTGCAAGGGGTTTGTTGGTTTGTGCCCCAGCAGGGATTATCAGGTTGCAACTCAGTACCAGCATCCCTTGTACAACAGGTTGGTTCTTTTCCGCTGAATTGCTCCACTCCCTACCTGACTGTGTGTTCGACAGTTGCTTTCTTTCCGATCGATGCAGGGCGGACCAGCATCGCCTGTACTGCACTTCTCTTGCCTTCACTTCATTTCCGAACGATTTCCTCCGCTACGTCTTCAAATCGGATGACAAGGAGATCAGCGTCATTCACCTGATTGGAACCCTGCCAGCTGAGCTTGAGCTGTTGGACTGCAGCACTCGCAACCTCCTCCAAGGTCACTGCGCGGGCAGCCACCTGCTACCAGGGTCAACCAGTTTTGACGTCAAGTGGAAACACGTCTGCAGCACCAAGACAAGCTTCTCCCTATGTCTGGTTGCTGAAGACGCCAGCGGCGTTCGCTCTCTACCAGTCTGCCACTTCTTCTCCGTCAACCAGTCGATGGCGAGCGACTCTGTCAGCATATTCTCGGCGACTGAGCGGACAGGTGGAAGGCTGCTGGACCTGCCTTCTCAGTCACCTTTACCTTCTCTTCAAGTTGACAACCAGGTTGAGCTTCAGCTGAGCATCGCGCAAGAGCCTTCCGAGATCATCGCAGGAGAGCCTTTCCTGGTCCAGCCCATCGTCGCTGTCCTCAACAGCTTCGGGGAGCATCTGGACGGCAAGGGCCTGCTGGTTGAAGCGTCTTTGAAGAACAGAGGGTTCCAATTGCTGGGCAACACATTTGCCGAGGTGCGATCAGGTCTTGCAGTCTTCACGGACTTATATGTCACTCCCTACGGCTCTTCCCTCGTTATTCGCTTTGATATGCTTTCGGGCAACTTGAGCTGGTCAGTAGAGACCCCAGGCTTCGCTGTGTTGCCTCCTCCCACACGCCTGATGGTCTTCCCTCAGCCCTCTGCCTCCTACGAGGCAGGCATGCGGATCGTCTCGGTCGTCGTCTACCTCCTTGACGACGACGGGACCAGTGCTGCTCTTTCTCGCAAGATGGTCGCCATGACAGTGAACCAGCTGGGGGCCGCCGGCTCTCCTCCTCAGCAGGCGCTCGGGGATACGGTCTACGTGCAGGCCTATAACGGACGGGCAGAGTTCCGAGACATCGTCATCCTTAGCTGCGGCGACTTCGCACTCAAGTTTCACCTCCGGGACGATGTACAAGTCCAGCTCCAGTCCAGCTCCTTCAAGATCGTGCCTGCAAGACCAGCCCTGCTGCTCGTGACGCGCCAACCCTGCGCCGTCCCCTGCAACCCTTCAGCTGGGCTCAACCAGATCAGTGGAGACCTGCTGGAGGCGGAGGTGGAAGTGCGCGACAGCTTCGGGAACGTGATCCCCTGCAGGAGCTCCTCGAACGCCTCGGTGATCCTCCGATTGTTCAGATCGGACTCGAGCAAGCAGGTCAGCCAAGCACTGCTGGGGGGCAGCCGGCATGTTCCTCCGACCTCGTGCAACCTCTCGGCAGACGTGCTGCGGTACAAGTTCACAGACGTGTCGATCTCGGTCACGGGGCTGTTCTCTCTCGAGTTTCAGGTCGATATCGACGACTTTCTCCTCCTCAACACTTCGCTCGTCTTCTCTGTCTCTCCTCCCGTCGAGTACCTCAAGGGCTCCGCAGAGCCTGACCTGACAGGCCAGCTGACGGCGGGCAAGAAGTGGGATTTCTTGATCAGAGTGGAACTCCTGACGCGTTCGATGCTTTCCACCTCGTCCATGCGCAAGGTTTCAGTGGTTTTCAACTCCTCCGACGCCTCCTGTGCTCGGCTTCCTCCCATCAACAGCTCCAACTACAGCTTCTGCCCCGTCCCCGACGTCATCTGCCACCCTGAAGACAGGTTCTTCGCCATCTCCGAGGCCTTGGCGAGCAACGGGCTCGTCTCGTTCCACCCGTCGGCCACCAACCAGTCCGGGAGGAATTTCTTCATTTCGATTCTGAGCGGGGGGGTGCGAGGAGCCTTTGGGCCCCTGCAAGTGGCTGCGGCTGAGGTGAAGACAATGGAGGCTCACTGCGTTAGGAGCGAGAGCGTAGCAGAGAGGCTGGTGGAGCTCGAGGCGACCTTGTTCCTGCTGGATGAGTACAGGAACCTGGTCAACCTCACGGGTGAGAAGGTAATGGTGAAGGCAGCAGCTGGGGAGGAGACGAGGTTGTTCTTACGGGGAGAGGTGGAGGTGGAGGTGAACGACGGCATTGCAACCTTCTCTCAACTCGAGATTGAATGCCTGGAGGTTTTCGTTTTCCACCTGGAGTTCTACCTTGTCTCCGATCAGAACTTGAGGGCTACAGTCGAGTTTGACCCTTTCACGATGAAGAAGACCGAAGCTAGGTTTGACATCGAGCAGCAGCCCCAATCTCTCCCTGCTGGCGAGACGCTTGTCAGCACCAAGGCAAAGATCGCTCCACCTGCTCTCAGTGCGCTGGGTCAGTTTGTTTCTGTCTCCCTCAACTTCTCCGCGTGCCAGGACCCGACACAAGTTTACTCCAACCAGCGCATGTCGCATGCTCAGCTGTTCGCGTCCTATCCTCTGTATAACAACCAGTCCTTCTACCTCTCTCACCTGAGGGTCCGCGACGTCTCGGCCCAAGACTTCAATGTCACCATCTTCTTCACGGATGCCTCGGACTCTTGCGAGCAGATTCATCAGTCAGACCCCAACATGGAGCAGACTCTCTCTCCTCCTTACCACCTCGCCTGCCGTCCGAGCGAGGGCACGTGCGAGGCCGTAGGGGAGGAGGGGACGACGCCTTACCTGCATGTGACGATGCTGCGGGACGTCAGGGGGACCGTTAGCGTGTGTGTCGTCGATCAAGTCAACCGGCCGTACGTCCTCCCCGTGGTAGTCAACGAGTCGGGGACGTGGAAACCGTTCTTTGACCTCACCGTCTTCTTTCAACGGAACTTGTCAACCGGGATGCTCTCGAGCCAAGAACTCTCCATCGGGTCTTCACAGGACAACAACACCCTCTGGTTCCTCGGAAAGCAGCTGGATCAGTGCTCGGGGTTCTTCTACATCTCAGAAGACCCGAGGGTAGCTGTCAGCTTCACCCGAAGCTCCTTCACCAACCGCTCTTCCCCCTCGGACTGCCCGACTGACCCTGAGACTGGCGTCGAGTACTCGTGGGCGACATACAAGGACGTCCTGCTGTTGAGCACCTTCGCCACGGGAACGTCGACTATTACGATGGGAGCAGTCACTCAGCCTTGCCGGGCGCTGCTGCAGGAGCAGGGGACCAGGAACCAGTTGATGTTTCGAGACTCGGAGGAGGAGGGGATCGTGCTGGAGTATGTCGGAGACACCAACCTGTCCCTGTCCCGCAAGAAGCCCGAGGACGGAAGGATGGCAGGACTGATCTGTCTGAGGAGGCTGCAGAGGCAGGAGGTCGACCCTCCCGCTGCACCTTTGCTGGCGTCAATCCTTCAGCTGGAAGTCAGGAGACCTGCACAGGTAGATGGTGGGAAGGTCGTTGTTCCAGCAGTGGACCAGAGAGTTCAGCCCGAACGAGACGGACAAGTCGTGGGTTTCACCTGTCAGAACATGACTATCCGCTTCTCAGTCACCGCAAGGCTCAACACGTGGACCGGAATCCTCCCCTCCGCCTCCTCCCACCCTCACTTCATCCGTTGGGCAGAGTCAGTCCAGGGTGTCAAGCCAGACGGGGGGAGGGTGTACGTATTCGGGGACGAGGGCAAGGACTGGGTCTATCCCCAGCAGAGGAACTCGTTTGGTGCCCAGTACATGGACGTTTCCCAGCTTGTGGAGCAGGAGGTCATAGCTGGGGAGGCTTGTCATGACTGGCCGCTCGATCTCCCGGTCTACTTGGAGTATCGGGTTGTGACGAATAGGAAAGACTTTGACAACTACAAGACTACGGTAGTCTTCCACCGCCTCCCCCTCTCTGTCAACGAGGCCGTGGAGGCTCAGCGGCAGGAGAGAAGCAGGAACCTGACGCTGAGCGACGGATCTCGTTGCTCCCACACGTTCCCCGACACCCGCAAGCTGTTCTGCCTTAGGATCGGGGCCCACTGGAACCTGCCGGGGCTGATAGGAAGCGACTCTGAGAACTGCGACGGAGCAGACTATCCATGTGAAGTGATCAGGTGCGGGGAACAGGTGGCAGAGATCCGAGCTGGAGGTTTCCACTCCTGCGCGCTCTTCCAGGACGGCAAGGTCTCCTGCTGGGGAAGGAACTCCCTGGGGCAGACCGACGTCCCATTCAACCTCTCCGCCCCCGCAAAGTCGATCGATGCAGGATCATACCACTCCTGCGCCGTGCTGAGAAACAAGAGTATCTCGTGCTGGGGAGATGACACGATGGGTCAAAGCAGGAATCCTCCTTCCCAGCTCAGCTGGGTCCAGGTCAGCTGCGGAGCCATGCACACGTGCGGCATCAGAGAGGACCTGAATCTCTCCTGCTGGGGAGACGACACATACGGCCAGAGCTCTCCAGGTGTGCATGCGGCATGGCAGCAGGTCTCGTCCGGCCTCTTCCACACCTGCGGCGTCTCGGTCGAGGGCGACGGATACTGCTGGGGAGGGAGAGGGTTCGACTTCGGACAGACTGAGATCCCGCAGGGCAAGTGGAAGAAGGTTTCCTCAGGCAACACGCACAGCTGCGGCATCCTCGTCAATGGCACCCTGCTGTGCTGGGGAAGTAGCCAGTGGGGGATGCTTGAAGTCCCGCCAGCGCTCTATGAAGACGTGTCATGCGGACTGATGCACACGTGTGCGGTGACAAGGATGGGAAGGATGCTCTGCTGGGGCAACCACTACTGGAACAAGCTGGAAGTGCAGCCTCTGGTGGCGGGATGGCGATCAGTCTCGAGCTCCTACGAGCACACCTGTGCCGTGCTGAAAACGGGACGAGTATCGTGCTGGGGATCCCCCACGTATGGAAAGCTGGCGCTGTCGTCAGCCCCTTACGTCGAGTTTGCGGACCCTTGCACGGTGAAGAGCAACCTGGTGGGCGAGCAGCTGGGAGACTGCAAGGATGAGATCCACGTGACGAGCGTCTTGGTGAGGCTCTCTCAGCACATTCCCAGCTCGCAAATCTACTTCTCCGTGGACGACGAGGCCTCCCAGCTCTACGCGGCCCCGTTCTTGCTCCGTCGCTCGTCATCCGTCAAGGCCTGGGCCTCTCCTGGCACAGACCGCGAGGTCACTGGCAGCTCCTCGACCTTCGGCTTCTCCCTCAACAACTTCACCATCAAAAGTGCAGACCCGACGTTTTCTCCTCCTCCTGGAACCTTCACGACTCAAGTCGCAGTCCTTATGGCTGGCGATGACGTCAACGAAACTTCCATCTACTACTCCCTCGACGGCAGCGAGCCATCGCTCCTCTACAGCCCTCCCGTCCTCCTCGGCAACCTCACCGCCAACTCCAGCGGGGTGACGACAATCCGAGCGTACGCGACGCGCGCAAGGACGCTGAGGAGCGAGGAGGTGAGGAGGGAGTACTTGACAGTGGTAGCGGCGGTCTCGTTCGAGCCCAACAGCACAGACGTGCTGGAGCTGGAGGATGCTCGCGGCCTTTCCGTGAGCTTGTCATGCGACACACCCGATGCTCACATTCGGTACCGGCTAGTCAATCGGTCGTCCGACGTGTTTGACTACGCCTCTCCTTTCATCGTCAACCACTCTCATGCCGTCGTGGAGGCCTGGGCGACCAAAGGGAACCTCGCAGAGTCACCTCGATCTTCTCATCTCTTCCTCATCCGCTTGCCCCCTCCCCTCTTCGACCCTCCGCCAGCCTCCTACTACCTCTGGGGGCCCATTAACATCTCCATATCCTGCAAGTACGGCTTCTCCGTGGTGTATCAGCTGGACGACCAGCAGGAGGTGACTGGAGGCTCATTGGTCGTGATGCTGCTCAGGCAGAACGCGAGCTTGACCGCTACATGCTCGTCGATCGAGGGCTCGTACATGCCCAGCAAGACAGCGAGCGCGATGTACATGATCAGAGACTTGCGAGTGGAGTCAGCGGAGGTATGGGAAGAGACTTCGCTCCGCTCCTCCCCTAACCACCTCTCGTTGCTCATCGTCACTTCTATTCCCATCCCTACCTCAAGCAACATCTCCATCTCCGGCATGGACCGCAACCTCATCCGCTGGGACCTCCCTCATCCCGTCTGCTCGGACTCATCCTTCTCCCTCACGGGCGGCGAGCTAGCGGTGAGTGGGGAGGACGCCAGGAGGAAGAGATCAGTCGCCTTTGCATCCTTCACTTCCTTCCAGTGCGTCAGTGGTTACCAGACCGCCCGATCAGCTCCCAGGGTCTGCGACACCGGAGACTGTCCGCCCTTCTTCAATGCTCGTTTTCTTGGCGTCTCCCACAGCAGCTGGACCCAGACGGTCTCGATCGACCAGGAGGTGAGGATGAAGATTCACTACAAGTTCACGCGCCCTTGCTCGTTGTCGGAGAGGCTCAACCCTTCGCTGTCAGGCTGCAGGTCGTTCACTTGGAGGGTCGAGTATCGCTCCCTCAACTCGAGTGGACCCGGGAGGTGGATGGAGAAGAACTCAGCAAACGAGACTTTCTTGTCCACTCAAAATCTGACCATCGTTGACAACCAGGGGAACGTAAATCTCTCGGCCTTCTCTTCTCTCTTGCAGATCGTCGACCAGCAGGCCACGTGGGGCCCAGGTTTCTCCAAATCTTCTCACATCGAATGTTCCTCTGTTGCCTTCGGTAGCTTCGCTCTCGCCCATGGCGTCGTCCAGTCGGTACTAGAGATGAACCTTGACGATCGTACAGTCTTCTTCTCAATCTCCGCAAGGAACCCCTCCAGCTCGACCAACGGAACCTCCCGACATGTCACTGTCAGCGGCTGGTTCTCCAACGCCGCCAACGAGAGTTACAAGGAGTCAGACCCGCACGCGCTTGCCGGCGAAGTCATGACAGGGAAGGGAGGGTCAGGCTTCCTGGCCAGCAACATGTCCAGCAGGGCAGCTGAAGGAGAGGAGGTTGTGACCCTCAGCCTGCTGGCAAACTTCGATGCCTTGGACGTCTGCAAGAACGGATGCCAGCTCAACATCAGCTCGACCCAGGGCGACTTCACCTTCACTAAAGATCTCCTCCACTACGGAGGGTATGACCTCGTCTCCTACACCGAGGAGTCGTTCTCATGCAGGGGAGCTCGCTCCTGCTCAACGATGCTCCAGGATTACGTTCCTCCCTCCGCCTCCCTCTCGCACGCTGTCATTGACGTCTACGTGGCCTGCACAGACCTCGACGGTCCTGGCGAGTTCATCGAGACAGTGCGGGTAGGGCAGGAGGAAGTTCGGCAGTTTGACGCAGGGCCATGGCAGGGATGCGCCTCCTCATGCCAGCAGGAACGGCAGGTGGTTGCCGGACTTGACGTCTCGAAGTTCAACGGCAGTCAATTCACGGTTGATGTTTCGGTGTCGGAAGGCGTCGACTGGTTCACGTGCGAAGACCTTGACGTGAATCTGCTGAGAGTGCGAGTGAGGATACAAGTTGGATACACGCTCACAAGTCAGCTGCGAGACAGCAGGATGATCAGTTTTGACCTTCGTCCGATCAACTTTGACAGCCAGTGCCTCCTGTTCTCCTCTTACTTTGACGTCTTCGCTGTCAGCCGTGCGGCCCTCAACTCGACGTGCGTCCAGGTCTCGTTTGTATCGAGTGACGTTTCGTTCCTCTCCTCCTCCAGGAATCTTGAGTTCTCGCTGTCTACTGGGGAGCAAGTCAAGGCAAGGATCAGCTACTGCAGTACAGCAGGAGCTGAACCGCAAGTGCTCTACCTTCTCAACGATTCCTACGTCTCTCGCAAGCTGCTCCAAGCTGACCAGCTCCCCTTCTGCTCGACCTTTGCTCGCTTCTCCTTCGTCTGGGAGCCGAGCTCGGCTGAGCTGCAGGCAAACAGCCCAGCAGAGCTGCTCCGCCGGCTTCAGTTCCAGCTGCGTCGAGTCATTGCCACCGCTCTCCTCACCCCCATCGACAAGCTTGACATGCAGTTTGAAGGCTGCGCCAACTTCACGTGCGTTGCAGATGTAACGTTCAACTCAACGGCTGACCAGAACTGCCGAGAAGCTGCCAAGGCTCTCGAGGACGCCAAGGTCGAAGAGGCTTTGAGGGTCTCGGGGTGGAACGTCAGCGTCTCGTTTGCCGTCGAGCCGCAGGTGCATCTGGTAGGAGGAGACCTGCTGCCACTTGGGCTGGTTGAGATGATCCCGATGGGAAGCGTCGTCGTCGGAAGAAGCGATCAGTTCAACTTCGCGGGCTACCCGGCTGTGACTGGGGTGACATTCTACCGGACAGCCTACAAGGACGTCCGTCTGCTGGGCAACAAGCTGGTCTTCTCGTCTGATGGGACGTTTGAGTTCACAGACTTGCGCATTCAACTTTCATGCCACCTCTACAACCTCGTCCTCACCGCCAACGTGTTCAACGACCTGCTGCTGTCGCAAGCTACTCCCTCCTTCGCCGTCTCTCCTGCCTCGCCCGTCGCTCTCAAGATCAGCGACACTCCCTCGCTCCTCCCCAACTCGCTGCGATGGCCGTGCCTGAGCCAGCAGGACTGCGCCGGGAGCTCGTTGCTGGCGGGCTCAGAGTGGCTGGTGTCAGTGACGGTAGTGGACGAATATAACAACACCTGCAACGACGTCAAAGGCAACCTTACTGTTGCACTCGCTACCGGCGGGTCCGTCATGCAGACCGACGACTTCCTCCTCCTTCAAGGCTCCGCCCTCCTCCCCTTGCGCGTCACCACTGCAGCGAGCGGCTACCAACAAAACTTCAGCTTTCCCCAGCTCTCCCTCTCCTTCTTGTCTTCGACCTTCTCCGTACTCCCGGCTGCTCTGAGCGTTCTGAATCTAACCTTCACGGTGCCTCAGTATGACCTGCAGGCGGGCGTCTGTCTCTTCCCTTCCCCCTCCCTGAACCTCCTCGACGCCTACGGCAACTTCGTGACCGAGCGGCTGCTCGTTTATGTCATGCTGCTCAACCATCCCGCCGACCTGGGATGCCTGCACAGCAACTGGACTGGCATACAGAGTAGCTCAACTTCAGCTGGGCATGTGGAGTTTGACGGGCTGTATGTCACCCGAGCTGGGCTTCAGCACCGGCTGGTCTTCTTCTGCGAGGGTCTTGTCAACGTCTCGCGGGCCTTCGACGTCCTGCCTGCCGCCATCTTGTCATCGAGCGACGGGCAGCTGGAGGTGATCTTCAACCCTTCACAGGCAGTTGTTAACGAGAAGTTCCTGGTGCAACCCGCCGTCCGCGTCCTTGACAGCTACGGGAACTTTGACAGCTCGTACCAGGGGCTGATGTGGGCCAAGAGCGCAAGCAGTGGCAGCTCGTCGATCCTGAGAGGCACGTCAATGGTGGCGATCAAAGACGGTACCGCAACGTTCACCGACCTCCTCCTGACGGCAGCTGGGGAGCAGCAGCTGCGGTTCGAGGCTGACCTCGGCTTCTCCGTCCTCAGCTCGAAGTTCTTTGTGGGTGACTCGATCGCCTCGCTCCAGGTCTTGCAGCAGCCCAGCAGCAACGCGGTGGGCCAGGTTTTCTCAGCATCTCCCGTCTTGAGCTTGAGTGACGGGCTCGGAGCTCCTGTGCATTTCTCACGGGAGAAGGTGAAGGCAAGCGTTGTGGTGGACTACTTCGAGGCGCAGAAGACCTTCAGCTGCGACTTTGCGGGATGTTTCGCCTCCGCCTCCTTCGTGAACTTCTACCCTGAGGAGACTCTGCTGGAGAGTGCCTTCCTGGATGTAGAAGTGACAGCGTCTGACTACGACGACGTCAA